GAGAAGAGAAGAGAAGAGAAGAGAAGAGAAGAGAAGAGAAGAGAAGAGAAGAGAAGCTGGTGCTTATCCCTTTTCAGCAAGGGATAAGCACCAGCAGGAATGGTACCCCAAGACTGGCTTTCTGGAAGGTGAAAATCTAGGACTTTTCTCAGCAGAATGAATGAGCAAAACAGGACCCACGCACACTGAAAGTGGGGTGATCTGAATTCTAATGGGTGCCAACTTCTGGAGGGCAGAGGATCAAATTGTAGGAAGATCTTCCCTGTCCAGCCCAAGCCTTGCGGCCAATGAACTTGGGAACAGACCCAATAGATTTGTTTGCTTCCCATCCTCGGTTCATGTCCTGTATTAAGCCATGGTTTGTTGAATCACTGTTTACTGAAATCACAATTGGCTGGGCTCTATCACAGCATGAAACCATCAAAAAGCCTTTTAGGTTTTAGTGTGTTCGGTGAACCAGGTCAAGATACATTTAACTTTTAAGAACAGAGCAATCGAAAGGCTTAACGCAGGTTCTGTCATGGTTTGTTTAGAGAAGGCTTACTGAATAAAGCAGAACTGGTTGGGTTCACACAAGATGTTAAACTAGGAACCCAGGTTTATAAACCTCAATGGCCAACTGCAACCCTCCATGTTTAACAAATGTGGTGAATCAGGCCAAAATGCATATTAATCATTAATCACCACCTTCAAGCCTAAGGACAGAATGCTCAACTCAACACAAGGATGAATCTGAAACTTACTTTTTTCCCCCACATGAAAATAGTACAGCTGTAGAAGAAAAGCCAGCTATCTATTTAGGTTCACCCCTCGGGCAAAGCCAAAATCCATGTTCTGCAAAGCACAAAGCTTTGTTTGGTGCATTACATCAAGGCAAACCTAAAAAACGGGTGCGTTGCCCCATGCAGAGTTATTATGGTGCATACCCAGGACTAACAGAAGGAGACAGGGTTGATCTGAAAAACAACTTTGAAATATATTTACCTATTTATTTATTTGTGGAAGAGAGGCAGAAGGACCTACGTCCTCCTTAGTTTTTTTTCCATTTTACCTAAATGCCCGCTGGCTGTATTAGCTTGGGCTCACAGATGGCCCGGGTCTATTAAATTGCAACCTTCCCGACGTCACTGCAAGCAACTGTATTTGGCCTGAGCCAAGCCGTTCTTGAAAGCCTCTTAATGATCCACCCAAACTGGTCTGGCACATCCTCATGCTCTCATCGAGACGGTAACAATTAGACCAAACTATTACTTTCCGGGGAGACAAGGCAGGCAGGCCAGACAGACAAGCATTATGCGCGCAGGAGACAGCCCGGCTGACCAACCTTTCGAAGCTTGATGGACAAAAAACAAGGACCTGGTCACGAATACACATAATCCTGACCCTGCGGGTCAATTCGCACACTTCACAGCTGCCCGGGCAAAGAATCACAGAACTGGAAGGGGGCAGGAAGCCCTTGCGTTCAGCCCCAGATTTCCAATGGATTTCCAGAAAGGTTTCCAACAGATGGCTTGGACCCTTCCAGCAAACTGGGACTAGATGCTCTGTTGAATTCTCTTAACTTTAGGAGCTTTTTCTCTAACGTTCAACTGCAGATTGCCTTTTTGTAACTGAAATCCATTCATGTCTCCTGCACTCTAGGACAAAAACACACGCGCGTGCACCCACGCACACCCCTAAACCAAACCAAAGCAGGTCTTGACCTCCTTCAGATACTTGAAAAGGGCTAAGACATCTCCTGCCCCTTCTCAAAGAGCAAATGTACCCAATTCCTTCCATCTTTCTCCATTTCCAGCCCCTACAAATTTCTGAGTGCACTTTCCAGTTGCTCGCATTCTTTTTGAATATGCGGTACCCAGCACTGGGCATCGTCATTCAGCCGGGTCGGTTGAAAGTGGAACGTTACTTCCCGTGGTTTGGAAACTGAGATGGTTCTTGTTTTGGCAGCCGCATTTCGCTGCTGACTCACGTTCAGCTTGTCATCAACCAGAACTCGAAGCTACTGCTGTTGAAGGCTCAATCAAGGTTGTCTAGCAAATGTCAGTGTTAATTTCAAAGCTATTTTAATGACATTGAAATGAGCTGCTTTGATTCATGGCTCGGCTCGGGGGAAGAGCGCGCGGAGGAAACCTCTGAGCAGCCATTTTTACAAGAGGTCTTAATAGTAATTTCTAAAGCTGATTATAAGATGGGTTTCTGGATGCCCCATCACCCACCCCATCTCACAGCAATCTTCTTCTAAATGCAGACTTAAACATCTGGGAATAGCTGGGGTGCAAGAGGAAGATGGTTCTGTACCCCAAACATCCATGTTCCTTGGTCTGCAAACTTTGCCCTACAGTTTCAGATGGAAGTAGGGCACATTCAACTACAACTATCTGCTATGATGGCTAAATGGGAAGATTAATCAACCCAACCATATGTTGATTAAATTGTAAAGGCTGTTTTTCAGCAGCAAGGCTGCAATGTTGAGGGTGCAGAAATAATTTTGAGGATATGCTTCACCTGGCACAATCCTGGAAAAATGGGGGAAAAAATGGAGGGATCTGTAATTTTTGGCCTGGTAATACGTTTGCTTTTTTACATGTAACCTTACAGGAGAAGGCAGGGCATGCAGTGGTTAAAATTGTATTTCATTCCATTCTAAAAGGCTGGAAGTATTGTGTGTACTGACTTAAAATACAACTGACTGGTTTCTCCATTAGCTATTTGGAAAGCAAATGGTGAGCTGGGTACAAGCCGTTATCGGTGGCTCCCTGAAGCATCTGGCAGGGACTAGCCAGAAACTGAGTGTCAAAATAAATAAATAGCTTCATTCAGCCCTGAGAAGATAACCCAGAACGTTATATATATTTATGGTGGACAAATCATCATGATTATTAAGATGACCACTTCTACATGAAGTCTATCTGGGGAAAAACAAGAGGGGAAACCTGAGAGTTTCATACCTGAAGTGTGAACCTCCCGAGGCACCTGGCTGGCCACTGCTGAAACAAAGATAAGTCCATTGATCGAATCCAGCAGGCCTACTCTTGGCTCAAACTCCTGCTAATATACTTGGGAGTACATCTCCCTAAACATAATGGGACACATTTCCAAGTATAAGCTTAAAGATCAGGTAACAGCCTTACTTTTAATTCTGGGGGGGTTTTGAATGTGTGATGGTTTTAGGGATAAAGAAGGTTTGTTATGGAAATCATAACAGGGATCATTTCTTTTCAGACTTGGCCCCAGAGCTTCTATTCAGGAGCAGAATGCAGATTGGGAATATGAAATAATCAAGAAAAAAAACACCTCTAGGAGTTTGCAAAACATGTCGTCTTTTTAACAGAAGAGCAGAGAGCTTTTCCAGAACAGTTGGGATTCAGTTGCAAGGCTGACAGAAAGAATTAATTCCAGACTGGCTTGAAGCCAAGAACCTTTTTCCCCCCTTAGAAAAATATAATCATGCATCATTTCAAAAAGTACTGTTTGAGAGTCAGTGACAGTCATTTCAAATGTTCCTAACGATTACCATGCAAGTATTCAAATTTCATAAATTGGTAATCAGAGTTATAAATTTTTGTGAGCATGACTTCTGCCTAACTCAAATATAGAAAACGCCCAAGAAAAGAAATGCCTTTACATTAGAAAGGATATTGCATACAGTTACAAGCTGATAAGGCTGACATTTTATTCCAGAAATACATCAAGTGCTGGGGGGGGGGGGCAGGAAGGGAATAGAGCCCTACATTTGTGACTATCCTAAAAATAGTGCATTTTATGATCAAAACTGCATACAGTATTGATGAGCTGTACAAATTCTGCTTTTTAAATACCTTCAAAACTGCTTGAAGATAACTAGATGGATAGATAGAGACGCATGTATTTATATAGCACTTTCATACGAAGGAGAAATTCCAAGCACTTTAGGGAAAAAAAAAAAAATAGAAGTTCAGGAGGAGGGAGGTATGGCAGGCAAACATCAGACCCCCAACGACCCAGAGGGGAAAATTAAAACACTTCTGATTGGGGTCACCTGACCCGGAATAACAGGGGACCCACAGCCAGCTGTAGGTTAAAAGTTGCAGTTCGAGGCAGATTCATTGTTTGCTTATTTCTCAGTTGCAGCATCTTTCCAACAACAAGAGGGACTATGTATTGCTAAATTTTGGACTCTGTATTGCTAACATTTTCACCCCTCAAACAAGAAGGGGTTTGGACTTCGTGAACGGCAAAGGAGGTCAGCCCACCCAATTTGGCCTTTTCAAGTTGCTTTAAAGTTGCCGTGAAAGAACGGCTTTCTTCTTGCCCCGTTGGCCAAACTTCGGCAACCTGAGTTGTCAGCTTTGCTGGATCTCCTAGGACGATTCAGACGTCGTCCTGCGCCCGGGAGTTGGCGCGCGCTCACGTCTCAAGGGAGGTCATCACCATTGGCGGCTGCCGTTGCAAGGGACGACGATTTCAGCTTGATGCAACCCACCAGTGGATTCAGCTCCACAACCACAATCCAAACACGTATGCACGTCAAAGGACGTGCAGGTGTTCCCAGAGCAACAATCTCACTCAAACCTCCGAGTTGTTTCAAGTCACTCCCTGTAGGTAATGCTACATTTCACAGGGAAATGTGCTTTGCAAAGAGTATGAAAACACAGCATGCAAATTAAGAGCGATCCTGAAAATACCAATTTCACCGCTACAAACAGCAACATTCAGGACTAAGATCATAGAAGTGTATCATTTTATCCTTTACAATGTGATAATTAATAGCTTACCTCCTGTGCCACTAAACACGTAATCCAGCAAGTGTCAACTGCACTCTGCTCAGACACACCAATTTAGAAATTACATATTCCACAGCCTTGCAATATATATTTACAATGCCCGATGAAAGGTAAATAAGCATGATCATTTTTTTTTTCTGCCAGATGGCTTGCAAAGCAACCAACTCCGATCTCATGTATATTCCCTGAGAAAAGGAAATTTTAGACATTAACACTACGTCCTTCTGTGCTTTGTTTTCCTCCCACACAAGTTATGTTTGAGAAATACACTGTTCATGATAATGGTGCGTCCTTTCTTTATGGAGAGAACAAGCAGCAAATAAGCAGAATGAAAGGATGATATTCATATTCAGCTTCATCACCAAGGTGGCATTGTGTGTGTGCTGGAATGTGACTCCAAAAAACCTGCAGGAAAGAAAAAATACAATGCAGTTTTCCTAATTCAAGTTGTCGGCCTGAAGTAGTGGAGAGCAATCCCATCGATGCTTCTATGAGATCTTTGAGTAAGGAAGTGTCAACATAATTCCTAAGGTTTTGGCACTGCATTGCTAGTCAAACTTGAGTGAAGAAGGAAGATGTTATGTTCATTCCAGAAAGCCCTACCTATAAATCATCCACAGCTTCCATCTGCAGGCCGCTGAAAATCTCAAGAATTAGAACTTTTAAGGTCCAGAAGTTCTTCATACAGTGAGGACCCTGTAGAGAAGGCGGTCTCTACAACTTGCATGACCCACATTGTTTTACAAGCGTCAGCACAACACAATTGAGGGGTTACATAACAAATGCTTCACTCCTAGCTAGCAAAATGTAATTCCCCCAGACTAGTGGCTTCCCCACGTTGAAATTCTTGCAACTGCTGTACAAAGTCTCTTTTGTCCTTGCACAGAAAAAGGGGATTTTTTTAAAAAAAGGCCTCATTCATCTGTCTCATCAGTTTCCTGGGCAGCCAAACGGGTGAGCTCCAAATCGTCAGGGTACCGAATCTCCAACTCTGCGTTTGCAACATAGTATGTGTCAGCGAACTCCTCGAAGTAACGACCGATGTCTGGGTGAGGAATCTCACGAGGTTCTGGGTTGGGCTCTAGATTCTCTGCAAAAAGAAGGAAAAGTGAAAGATTGTGGGGAGGCTAGAAGAGTCATGGATGTTAAGGGAATAGGAGATAGGAAGGGAATCCATTGGTAGCTTAACTCATAATTGGCAACTCAAGCCAGGTGTCAATAAACCTGGGATGAAACAATTCAAGGTGTTCAATGACACTCTGCCTTAACAAACTCACTATAAACAAAGATTGGAAATTCTTACACTTTCTAAGACTGTGTATTTACTCCTAATGTTAAATACATTAAAGATGCCTTCCTGAAATCGATGTAATTCCTGCTTCCTTGACCTTGCCGAGCTGGGTGGGACTCGACCACCGTAATTTGCCAGGAAGAGAGCAGTTTCCGCCTGCTGCTATTCATCAACTTCAGTTGTCGTTTGGAATGAAGATGTTGAATAAGAGCCAAAGCTGCTGAAATCTCCTTCTTCTTGAAAAGTTACTTTTTTGCATTTGTTATACCTCCCTTACACAAGAGGATGCAATAAACCCATAGTTATTTCTTTTTTAAAAAACGAGCAATTTTAGAATAGGCCAGTTCTCAGTGGAGGAGAAAAAATACAGCTGTATGTGTCTGCCCTTTACTAAACCTGAGCCGTGGAAGAAGACTGCAAGGCTCTCAAAATAACCCGCTTTCAGGTTAAGGGAAATGTCAAATGCAGATTGATGCAATTATGTTGTTGCTGTTGGGCCTATTAGAGTTGCATGAACAATATCCAAAGCAGAAATAGTGTTACTGATTTATGTGTCTTGGGAATTCCAGAGAGGGAGCAGGTAAACATGTTTACTTAGGCTTGGAGACCAATGTATGCTCATCTCATGAGTTTCCTTGTAAGATGACTGGCTTGGTTTCCATTTAAGTTGAATCTGAACCAATATAAATGGAAGGGGAGGGAATCATCTCTTTTGCTTTGAGCCTCAAGCATGCAAGGAGAGCGACAAGACATCGATTGCTTCAGAGGACTTTGTCTTCAAGGCTCAGTATGACTTGGCTATCCTCTTTAGGGGCTCTCCCTTGGGTGCTCCCAAAGTCATGGGGAGGTGCAAGGTCAGTGAGGACTCCTCCATGCAGAACAGTGTTTCTTAACCTTAGCGACTTGAAGATGTGTGGACTTCAATTCCCAGAATTCCCCAGCCAGCATGACTGGCTGGGGAATCCTGGGAATTGAAGTCCACACATCTTAAAGTTGCTAAGGTTGAGAAATGCTGATGTAGAAACTCAGTGAGGGTAGGAATGTTTTTGTGATGCTAACCAAAAGGGCCACCTCCAGGGCTGAACCCACAGCACATCTCGATATCCTCGCAGAGTTGGCCTTAAACTCTTAAGTTGCCTCATTACAGGTTGTCACTGCAGTTTAATAATAGTTAAAGGTTTCCGTTCTCTTATGCACTGTTTATATGCCGGGGTTGTCCTATTTTATTTTGATTCTGAGGCCTTCATGCTGCTCATGTATTTTGATGATATTCCTGGATGTTACTTTCACTGGAGGTGGGGTTTTCCCACACTGAAGACACTGACAACCTGGGAACGTACTGTACTCACTAAATAAATACTGCAGAAAAATGAACAAAAAGGTGTCTGGCAAAGCTTTCAATTCAGAGCCAAGGGCTTTAATCTGTGAGAAAGCATAATATCGATCAGCAATCTCCCACCTTGAGTTAAATAGCCACCCCATTTTTTCAAAGTTCTCAGCAAATTAGTAACCCCATTTTCTCATTGCATCTGTGAACTGCCAGTTGGCCAATCTACAGAGTTCCAAAACTTCCTTTCCTTTCATCACTAACTGCCCCCTTCCCCCCACAATCTCTTATATTACATCCAAGAATCCTCTCTTTCTCCAGCTCAACTTGTTTTCTCAACTGAGACAGGCTTTCTAATCCAAATTTTGTATACCCTTGTAACAGAAGCTGAGTTGTGGACCAAGTTTAGATTACTGGGGGAGGGGGAGGAGGAGGAGGAGGAGAAGAAGAAGAAAAGGCAAATGTGATGTTCCAGTCACCGTTGCAGTTGTTCCGAGTGCCCTCTACTGGGAGAACCATTTATTCTAAGCCTTACTAAAAATATCATAGGAAATTTGCAGATTAGTTTTCCATCTCATGCTGTTCTTATCAGGAAACAGGCAGTGAGCATTATGAGAGAAGGATCAGTTCCACACATCAGTGAAGCATTATGAAAACCCACTCAATCACTACTAAGCTGCCTTGGGCTGCGTTAGAACTTCCATCCGTTTAGGTCAGCACCGTTGACACCAGTTGATTGGGAGTTATTGGGAGTTTTCCCAGCCCTATCAAGAGATGACAGGGGTTGAATGTAGAACTTCAGCATGCTAGGAGCATGATCTACCATAAGCTGTAAGAACAACCCTGCTGGAGCCCATCAACGAACCACCAAAAATCACACTATTGAACCTGGAGATACCAGGAATGGTCTTTGAGGTGGAATGACAGCGAATCTGTTCGCTTCTGGGTTTGAGGCCAATTCTTGGGATTACAGTTCTTTAATTTTAAGAGTCTACATCTTGCATAATTGGAATTTTACTTCAAGAGCAAAATACAGCCGTGAAGCCTCAAAGTTTGCCAGCCTGATTTGCTGAGCAGGCAAATGTGACAACTGGCACTGTCTTGGGTCTCACTGTGTCTGCGGACCAAAACATTCCCAGTTCTACTTTATTAATTCTGAGAATAACTTAGTGGAGGGGAAATGAATTAACTACCCTGCACTGGGATAAGTTTTCTTCCCATATGTCTAAATGAAGGGCAGGCAACCATGAATAAGCTTGTTGAAAACACCGCCTGCTTACCTTGGGCAGCATAACGGCATGACCCATCTTCCACTAAAACATTGTAGAAAGGCTGGTGGGGACCATGCGGCAAGCTGTGGACATTCATGTTTCGGATCCATTCACGTCCCATCATACATGCTGGATCCCAACCATAGATCACACAGTTGTAGCCATATCTAAATTCAAAGAGAAAGAGGACACACAACTCCATGAACGGTTGAATGGCTGGCAGTCTGGGCAGGTTAACATGCAGGCAGGTTGGGAGACTCTGCACTGAGAACGAGGATGGATGCTGCAGAATAACCAATGTTAAGTGATGCCCCCTTGTGTGAGAACCCTTTGGCACAGAGACATATAAACTCATATTCTCATTAATGACTTATGGAAGACTCCACCCACGTACTGCGACTTAGAACAACGTATGTTCTCTTCTGGTTGCTAACAGTGGAGAACACCTCACCCACAACCGCAGTTATTATTTATCAATTATGTCATTTCTAGAGTTGTTACTTGTCAACAGCTTCATCTAGGAGTCAGGTTTTTTGCGGGGGGGCAGCCTACAACAGAGGTCAACAGCTGGGAAGCAAAACCCATTTGCTCAGCAGAGACAGCAAAGCATGGATTGAGTCAGAACCTTTCCCTCTGATATCCTGCACTCTTAATTATTAGGTACTTCAAAGACAGCATTCACCCACAGGCCTCTTGATTCCCACCAAGTTCCCTGATCCACTCAACTATATTAAAAATAATAATAAATATCAAAATGGACAGCGGCTATGTTGCAAAATGGATTATCAGCATTGGGCCGCGCACTTTATTTTCAAAAGACCTTAGCCTCAGCATAGGTTTCAGACGTATTCTAAGAAAATAGAGGGGGTAAAAGGCTGCAGGTCAGGGCTGTATGGAAGCCTGCCCAGTTGCTGGGGATGGGGTGAACACCAAAAATAAACTGGGGTGGTGGAGGCGGCCCTGGGAGATTAAGAAACAGTGATAAGCAACTATCTCAAAACTTTGTCTTCTAAGAAATGTGGGGGTGGGAGTGGAGGTGAGGGTTGGACTACCCTCATAGCTGCCATTTGCGAGACTGCCTGCAAATCCCCCCTCTAAATGTGCCCCCGTTGCCTACATACAGTGATGAATAAAACACACCCACCTGTACGCACTCACATTTCTATTTTGTTTAACCTAGAAAGATGACTCACGAAACGTGTCCCCGCGTGCCTCAGCACCCTGGTGCTGACTCTGCTGCTTTGCCATGCTATCTCGGCATTTGGGTAGAACCACAAAGCTTGGCCGTGAAGCTTTGCAACTCCGTTCGAAGACTATTAAAAATAACACCGGCAAACCAGAAATGGTGTTTTCGCTCATCTAATTTTAACTCTGTCCTTATGGTGCACGGGCGGATAAAACTGTCCCCGCCCCTTTTGCTGTTTGTATAAGATTCTCTTCATGATAAAGGAGATCATCTCGTTGGGAAGTCATTATTCTTGTTTCGTTTATGATCAGGCTGGGTTTCTCACTGTGGCCTGCCTGGCAACCTTTGGGACTGGATTTGGAGTGTGAAGGCTTTGGGGGGGCGAAGCACTCTCTTTATATCTTTATTTTAAAGGGAATTCCTTTGGCGATCTGATTGAGAATGGCCATCATCTGTTTTCAAAAGAAATGCCAGTACAAAAATAATAACCACCACATGCTGAAATTCAGGGGTAGGAGTAGCATCTACTTCATTTTCCCCACTTGCCCATTCTCAGAAATTGACGATCTGTACAAAACAAACAGCCAGGGCTACCATGCAAGTAGAAACCCCTACAATGGAAACTCAATTTTATAACTTGCTTGGACATCAACAGCAGCTCTAGCAAATCTCCTCATTCCACAAAGGGAAGTCAGGATTATGGGAACAGGGGACTATGTGCAGAAGAGCATGAAGAAGGAATTAGGTAAATATCAAGTTAGCTCAGACAGATGGGAAGGGGTGAGGAAAAAACTCAAGACTGCCTCCCCTAGATTCTCTTTAGGGGAGATGTATAAGAGGGGAAAGATAAAACCTCTGTTGGGCTTTCACGTTTCTGTCATTATATTCAACAACTATAAAGTAGAGTTCCAGTAGTTCATGCGGTGTCTGTTTCCTAACTTGGTCTACCCCGAAGGGCTAGCCTAAGGCAACTTTCTGCATCTTTGGAGAAAATAACCTGCTGAGACTTGCCAGTGAAATTAAGACTGTAAAAAGTATGTTTTTAAAAGGCTGACAAGAATTCAGTCCAATTCCTTTCCTGATGACCCAAAACCCAAGACCAAGCCATGGTGTTAGTTGAGGGTTCAGCTGGATCTACTCAATTTGGCACCTTCTACGTACACATGACAACATCTCCCATGATTCCCAGCTGAGCAGGGGTTAGGTCTTCCTTCGGTATGCAGAGGAGTCTGGAGATGGCCTTGTAGAAGGAACTGAACAACCATCTACAGAAAGTATCAACTTAGACTGGAGAGATAGGAGGGGATGAGGAGAAAACCCTAATTTGTCTTGATTCTTTTTAGGATAGAGAGGAGAGAGAATCTCCATCAAGCTTTCAAGGTTCTGTCATTATACCCTCTAACAATATTTTAGAGTAAAAATTTTATTTACTCTATTTTACAGTGAGTCACGTGGTTTCCTGACCTGGTCTACTTGAAAAGGCTGACCCTACACACTTGCCCATCTTGTCCTATGTTTTGGTCCTACAGATATGGATCCCTACTTCAACAGAGAAATCAGCCATTGCAGAATCTTGGTGGAAAAGGATGAGGAGGTGACACACGCTCACCTTTTGTGTTTCATAATCAGGCCGACAGAATAGCAGATGTCTCTGTGTTTCTCCTCGAAATGAAGCTTCACATCCGGACCTAATTCTTCTTTCCGACGGTCAATATGTTCCAGGGTATGTTGAACTAAATACCCCACTGCTCCTTGTTGGGATGGGTCCAAGGCCTGAATGTGCTGTAAGATGTCCAGAACCTTTAACAGAGCAAAAGAGCTCCCAATCAACCCTCCTATAGCTCAACGTTCAATAACTCCAGTCTATGATATTTATTTCATCGTTTTCAGTATTTAGCATGTGATACCTGGCCAGCAGTTACTGGACAGTTCTGCATATTTCCTTTTTGTCACTCTTTCTGTAAGTTATTAAAAAATAGATAAGTTGTAATAAAATGGATTGAAGCTTAAACCAATATTCCAGGATTTTTTCCCCCTAAATATCCTTTTTTCATTTCATTCAATACAGTTTTTGCAAGAGTCAGAATGGGAGAGAGAAACTGTGTGCTTTTGGACTTAAAGACAAGTCTGAAAACTCATATTTTAGTCCAGAGATCACAAAAGCAGGCTAGCTTTATCTGAATTTACTTAATTACTGAATTTTTTTAAACTGTCTTTCAGGATACACCATCCTCTGAAGATGGTTTAAAAGAGGAAAAAACACACACACACGCAATAATGTTATTGCACAGCCTCCAAAGATAAGTTAAATAAACCAGAGCTGAAATATCTTTCTTCACTTTTTCGGCAGCATAGATACATCTGGCATCTGTTACTTTTAACAAATCCTCATCACGCAAGAAAAAAACAAACCAAGTTGAATTACATACAGAAAAGGCAATGGGGGATAAAAAAACAAGTCACATAAAAACAATGGGCTAAAATAACAGCAGTAAATCAAAGCAATCAAAGAGCGGCAACACAGAGAACAAGATCTGGATGGCGACACAACTCATTCAGCAACTGAGTGGGATCATTTGGAGCCTCCAAGGACTATGAGAGAAAGAAGAGGAAGGGGAAAAAAAAAATATATGAGAATGCTGTAGGTCAGTGCTTTCAACGATTTTAAGGTTTGTAAGAGTTTGGCCAACTGAAGAAGAAAGTTCTGGGGTCAATAACGGGGCTACCAAAAATGCAAAGCAGATGACTTCGGTACGGCTCCAACTTTTCAAAAGAGAAGGGGAAGTGGAAGGAGAGACAACCAAGTGCTTTAGGAGAAGCAACACCCATCCATCTCCATACTTAGTTCATGCATCTGGTACTTCACTGACGTAGCATGAATCCAAAGTACCTTCTCTGGCCAGATTCCGAGGTGGAAATACAATCTAGCTTGGAGCATTAGATGCTGCACGTTGTCTGGATACATGGCCAAGTACAGATCCAGAGAGTCTCTCAGGAGCTGGTATGACTGGTCAGTGCTTTCCCTAGCAAACAGATACCTACATGTTCAAATCAAAGTCATGCTTTCATAGATACATTTACCATCATCTAGCTGTGATGTCCCACTGCCAATTACCACACGGTTAGCTGGCCCGTCTTTCTCCAAAGCAGTCACAGTCCCAGATCTTGCGTCAAACGCATAATTAATGTTGTTGCTTATATACTGCCACTGGTCGAAAGCCTACCACATAACCAGTCCATTAACTCCACTCCTTTCTTCCACTGTCAAACAACTCCTACTGTTTTGAAGTTTCTTTCAATGTTTAGCTCAAATCTTGCTTCCTTTTCTAACCACCCCTCCCACCTTCTATAACAAGAAACTTTCTAAGATTTATCTTCTTCAGGACATTTTTTTCAGATATTTAAAGACCATGATTGTTTCTGCCCTTGATTTTCTCCTCTCCAGCAGATACACACCCAGAACTTTCCACCATTCCTGAAAGAACACACTTCTTGCAAAGCTCATAAAACCTTGTAAATGTTACTTAAGCCCAACTCTCTCTTTTCTCCTAACTCAGCACACAGACCTAGTTCTCCACCTAGAACCATGTTAACCCAAGAGCAGCTAATTATCACGCACCTGCTTCTCATGAAGTTCATTTCCAAAAATAAAACTAAAATAATACTAAAGCAGCCCAGCTAGATGGCAGCGCCTTAATAATCTTGGGTGATTCTGAAGAGCTAAGTGGAATTAAACCTGATTAGTACTTGGAGGGGGAATGACCTGGAAATTCCAGGGTTGTATGTTAGATTGGGGAGCTGAAACAACACAATGGTAAGACACTTCATACTGTGGCCAGGAAAGTTAGCTAGAGCTATCCATGAAATCATCAGGAATACAGCTCAACTCAAAAGAGGCTTTGCCTTTAATAGTAAACCTGTGTTTAACTGAAGTTACCAATAATTGCAATTAGCTGGTTTGAAATATTAATTTGCTCAATGTCAACCCCAACTCATAATTCTCATGTCCCGGACTTTCAGCCCTTTGAGGTATGCCAGGTCAGGAAACAGAAATTACAAGCATTCTAAGAATGCTACTTTCTTGTTGTAGGGTGTAATAACAGAATCTTGAAAGCCCGTCGGAGTCACTCCATGCCCCCTCTTATACCAAGCAGAAACAAGGCAGGGCTGATTTGAGATTCTCTCTCATACTTTTCACTTTCCCAGGACTGAGCTGCTATTTCACCTCCATCAATGGTCCAGCTATTCCTTCACCAAGGTCACTGCTACATTCCTTTACACTGATAAGCAAGGTCTCATATTTCCAGAACTGTTTGACAGGGTACTGGGAAGTTAAAGCGGGTGGACCACAGGTGGCTGTGCTTGGCTTTGATGGTATATAAAAGCAGATCTCTTATTACATATAAGGACAGCTGGTTTAAGTCTTCTTAATGAGTTTACAGAAGAGACAAGCTTTAGCTGCTTCAGCATATCCTAAAAGCACAACATTACTGTATTTCATTTATATTCAGCTTGGGAGAATGTAAATGAACTTACATGGAAATCTCCCTTCACTGTAACCCATTGAACCTCCCCTCCTTATAACCCAACAATAACTTTGTGAGGTAGGCTGGGCTAAGAGACTGCCTGGCCCAAAGATCCTCATCGAGCTCCATGGTCAAGTGTGGACTTAGATCTCCATGGTCATGGGGGGGGGGGGGCCTAAGCCCCCCCTTAATGCAATGCTAACGCTT